TCAGGGATATAAACTACACTTGTAAGTAAAAACAACCGTAACAAAAAAGCAGCGATAAACCCATCCCATAACAAGGTTGTCTTCATGAAGTCATCAGAGGTTAGCTTGAGGACATCTTTATAATTTTAGTTTTCCCCATTCTTGTAGCTTGTGTGTATTGGAGTATCTCCTGGGTGGTGGTAATTGAACTTCAATATATATTGAGCTATGAGGGGTCCTTGGTGCTCTCTGAGCTTGGTTGTTTTCTAACTAGTTTGGGTAATGAAACATCTACAAGAAAACAATCAAGCTCAGAGAGCACCAAGGACCCCTCATTTCAACCCTGAGCTGCAAATATTCTCCTTTATCGATATTGAACTATGTTTGGCTGCAGGAAGTGTTCAAGCCTCCCACCCCTGCAAACATACTGTCCACTATACTTTTCATAGTTTCCTTTGGCAGCAACAGCATGTGAAATGCCATTGCACAATACCGCACCATTCCAGCCTATAGAATTTACACCGTCGCACAATGTAAAATAAGCACATCTGTTCTGCTTTGTGAGATTTCAGTTGGAGTTTGCAGTTGAAACCTGAAACATAACATGCACACAGTTGACTCAAACTAACAACATGCTCGCATCATCTCCAAGAGGCAGTAAGAGGGAAGGGGGGGGGGAAGGATTGCAGTTGGCCAAAAGGAGACACAATGAGAAAAAAAAAGATAGAAACAGCGGTACTCCATGACTTGATATATTTTGTGACATAATATTGGTGCGATTATTTGCAAGAGAGAACCAGACTTTCAACTAGTATAAGAGGATTAGACCGGGAGCATGGAAGTTCAGTTTGAAATCCTCCATCACCCAGTGAACTCAGTGGGCAATTGGAAACTACAGTAGTCACGTTTTCTTAGCACAGTCTACTTTATACAGTTGTTGCTGTGAGGAAAAGAATAAAGGATGACCTTATAAATGCCATCTTGAAGGTCTTATCGCTGAAAGGCAGGATGTAAATCAAAAATGGTGGAACAAGCTTCATAGGACTTAGAGGTCAGTTCCCCCACTCAGCCTGAAGTTCATGGCTGACTCGGGCCAGGTATCATCCTAGTCTAAGCTAACTTGACAGTGTTACTGTGAAGGTAAAAATAAAGAGGTAAAGGAGAACCATGTGTGCCACCTTCAGCTCCTATAGGAAATATTGGATATAACCTATAACAAATAAATATATCAATAAAACAAATCAGATCATCAAACAATGTATTTCCTGCAAACACTGATGGGGGGGGCGAAAGTTAAGACTAATTTTATTGAGGGGTTTTTGTTTATTTGATTTTATTCTTTGTTTGTTATTGTTTTATATAATCGTTGTGAGTCCTTCTGGAATCTGGTTTTATGATGAGTGGCCATATAAATATTTTTAAAGAATAACTCTTAAACAATAAGAGTTAAGAGACTAAAACTATTTAGTTGTAGGTCCCAAAGGTGCTTTTTAAAAGGCAACTGAACTTTCTTAGTTTTTTCTTGAAAACATTTCACTTCTCATCCAAGAAGCTTCTGTCAGAACTGAGAAATGAAATGTGTCCAGTTTCCTTTTCTAAAGCACCTTTGGAACAACCATGACCAGGATGATTGAGAATCTCCATAGATATTTAGCTGTATTTACTAGGTACAGAATATATCTCAGAGTAAATCAGTGAACTAGGTTCACCATTTCCCCATATGGTAGACTCCCATTTAAATATCTTTAAGTAACCTTATCAAATTTAAACAGAAGTTTGAGGATGGCAAAAAATCTCCATGTTCTATTTTTAGGGCAAAAAGAAAAAAAGTTTCCAAACATGAAGACTTAGAGCTCATTTTCAGCTTTATTAGTGTCTCTCCAACCTAAATTTATAAATAAGAGGGACCTAAGTTGGTCATTATTATTTTTTTCTAAAGCACATGAACATACATATGTAGCTTAAAATACCCACGGGAAATAACCGTAGCTGGGAAACATACTCTGAGCAAGAAAGAAGTTGTGTTTGTGGGTGGGAGTGAGGAGCAATTTCAAAATCACATCTAGCAAATATCCCTAAGGCCACCAGATTTTCCAAATACACATCTGCTTGTTTTGCTCCAGTATCATCATTCATGCTTTAATTCTAGTGAAATTCAGAACTGAACATTTTGCACGTTATCGACATGCCCAAGTATGTCTTGTCAGTCCATGCTTGTGGATGTGGCAATATGTTGACTTGCAAAGTAATTTTTTTAATTAAAGACCCTAGCTTACACAGAACAACATAAGCACGTTCAGGATATGTTTAGTTTAAGATTTGCTTGCACTGGCATGTATGGGCCCAAACTCTATAATCCTTATCATTGCTAAGGAATGCTGTATGTGGCATGGGTACATACCACATGGGTACAAAGGCTAGTAAGTTGGTCTATGCCTTCTCTGAAGTACTAAAAAGTGTTAATAAAACAGTAACTAATAATGTGGGCTCCCACTGATTTCAATAGGACTGAAGGATGACTGACTTCCATGGCATCTCATCTATTGCGGTTTCATAACTGATGGATTTCCTAAATCCAAGATCAGCAAGCTACCAGCTGCATCCCTGCCCAGACAGCATGCAACAAACCTACTTAAGGGATTCTAATTGCAAAAAAAAAGTGAGGTTTCTGGTTACTATTGGAATATTTCCATAATTTTAGAGCAACTCTTTCAGCCCAGCCATGCTTGCTACCCATATCATACACAGATTCTTTTGCAAAGTTTGCAAGATGATTTCTCCGTATCTGAATGATTCTTCATTGCACGGACAGATAAGCCATTCATCATACACCCCAGGTCCAGCTGGACCATCCCAGCTTCGTTTGGCTAGGGATTATAACATAAAAACTAAACAGGGTCATCCGGGAGACACCAAAGTATCTACCACTATTTATTTGCATCTCTGCTACCAATAGTTCCTTGATGACCTTGGGCATGTCACTTGTTTGTGAGCTTCACTTATTGCCTGTCCGTCTCCTTCCCTATCGAACGTTCAACTCCTTAAGACAAGGAAATAAATGGATGGGAATTCATGCCAATATCATCAGGATAAAATAAATGTAAAGTTCTCTGTTCTCCGGACGAGGCATCCATTTGCCCTACTACTCCTGCGTTCCCCGATTGCTTCCCAGTTTCTGGGCTCTCAGAAACAACCTGGTTTCTACCTCTTGCCCCCCTCCCATCTCCAGGCCAAAAACAACATCCATCCCTCTGCCCATTCGTAGGGATATTCTTGAATCATCTTTGTATAAACTGCCGGCCGCCACAGTCAAGAAATGATCATTCAGCAAAATTGGCCCTTCCTTATTCCCTGCTGCCTCTTCTGTTTCTTTTATCCACCTGCTCCAGATCTTTATTATAACGATTGGGGGGGGATAACAACTCCCAAACATGCACATACAGACATACACGGGCAAATACGCAAATGTATCCTGGCTCTTTCTAAAGACAGGATGACTTCCTTTTTTTTTTTTTGCCACTGCAGAAATCCCCACCACCACCTTTTGAAGCCTCAAAGCTCATTCTACCCACAGACACACAGAAATTAAAGGCCCCCGGAGAGAGGCCTGTGGTCTGAGTTTTCCTGCATCATTGCAGAGAGATGGATAGATCCCCCCTTCCAGTCTTCCCTTCAGTGCCTGACCAAGAAAGAAGACAAGGAGCTACAGAAGACAGATTTGCATAAAACCCATTCTCAGGCATTTATTTAAGCGGTTGCTCTTGTAACCAAGCCCATCATATATAAACTGCACAGTCGAATCAGCATCCCTGCAGAGTTTTTTTTAAATCCCTGTTCCATTCATACGGAGTGCTGCAGCAGGAGAAGAGGTGGTGGAGGAGAGGAATGTACAGTATATAGGCCTTTCCATAACAGTCTTCACCACCCCTAGTTTCAGTCCTCAGATCCAGAGTCCCCACAGGACAGAGACAGAGAGCAAACAGATCAGGATGCCTAGGTCTCCATCCCTAAGAGGTTATTTTTGTAGCCTAAATCTTTGTGCTGGGTTCCCTCCCCCCTCCCCCCCCCCAATTTTGGGTTTTTCTTCCTCCCCAACCAAGCCTGGTCATTGCAGCAGTATTTTTTTTAAAGCATCAGCTGCACCTCTGACACCTTCTCTCCTTCAGGCCCCAATTGCCTGGCAAATCAGCCTTAAAAGTGACCCAGCCATGAAATCCATGGTTTACCTTCCCCTCTCTGTTTACGTGGTTGTGCCCCACACACACACAAACACACACACACACCTCTTACAAAGACAGAACACACATCTCTCTACGACCATGTACACATTGTGTCTTCAAGGAATCTAACGGCACTTGAAGCTAAGTAGTAATATAGTTGTGGCCTTTTTAAAGCCTATGCCTCTTTAACTATTACAATGTTATTTCTTGCAGGTTATGAGCATGCCAAATACACTTGAACAGGGAAAACATTTAGTGCTCACCTCTAACTCCAGCATACTCCAGCACAGACAAGATTAACACTATTTTTCTTCTGAGAGCACTCCAACATCTCCAATGCTATCCCCCACACCCCACCCCATATCTACCTCCCAAAAAGCCTTTTGCCCTAAGCAGAGCTCCCATTTACTTCCCTCCCTCCCCCACAAAAAACCCTCTAGGAAAGTAGGAACGCAACCTTCTCTTAACACCTTCACCTCACAAACCCCAAATGAATTTCCAGCAGAGCCCTACGCTCCCCTACCCTCTCAACCCCACCTTTAGTCTGCCATAGGATCAACAGTTCCACTCACCTACCACCTCACCACGTTGTTTTTTTTTTATTCCTCCTACCGGGTCGAATTGACCTGGACTGTTTGGTCAAAACACCCCAGATGTTCCTTTATTATCCTGTCTTTAGATACATCTGAGGCCAAGATGAAGGCAATTTTCTCAGCTGCTGAGCTAGTCACACCATGCCCACCCCGTGGAACAGGTGCACCCCACTTCCATACCCCACTTCCAAATCTGCCAGAGACTCACCGGTCTGCCCTTTCCCCAGGGTCTTCTCCAGCCGGTAGGGCCCCACATACTGAGCATGTTGCTGGCTCTGCTGCGACTGGTAGGGGTGGACCCCACCTGCTTCTTTGCCACCGGACATGGCTTTTGTCTGTCGCCCTTCTGAGCAACAATCAGAAACGGGGTGGTGGGATGGGAAGGGGTACAGCAAGGCGAGGCAAGGCCCCCCCAGGTCCCCCCCTATAGGGACAATACCGAGGCCGGCATCCTGCTGGGTTTAGCAGGAGGGGGATGCTCTCGGCATCAGGAAAGGGAGAGTAGAGAAGGAGGAAGAATGCTACAGCCCGGGTACCAGCATCATTCAGCTGGTCCAGCCAAGGATGATGCTGTGGATGAAGGATGTTCCTGGCGAGGCTCTTCTCCTGGGCTGGTCCTTCGCCTCCTCTCACTGCAATCTGAAGGGATCTCTCGAGCTCTCCCCTTACATCAGCATCCGGGCAACTGGGTGACAGACACAATCCAGGTTAACCCTTGGTGGAACAAAGGCAGCGCCTCCTCCCCAGGCAGGGGGGAAGGGGTGGGGATGAAGGGGCGGGGTTGGGATGGGGAAAGGGAGTGGGGAAAGCTTTCTGACGGGATACGTGGAGCCATGGGGTGGGAGGGCTTAGCGAAGGTTGGGAGCACTGGATGAGGAGCATGGGAAGGAAGCAGGGTACTCAGCTGTGGATTGCAGGTTCCTGTTCTGGTAAGGGAATACTAGTATGCCTGTAAGCTTTTACGTGGGTGTGGGCACAAGTGAGTGCATGCACTCACCCAGTTGTATGTAATGAGTTTTTGTAAGGAAGAGATGAATGCTGATTTTTAAGGGGGTGGCAGTGCTTGTGTCCATGTGTTTGGTAGACAGAGGGATTGCCCTTAACAAGAAATCAGGTGTGCTCACAGATGGAGGGGGGGGGGGGAGAGGGAGAGAAAATGTGTGAGAGAGAAAGCTGCAAGTTCTCTTACTTTTTGTTTATGTCATGTAATCTCTTGTATATAAACAAGCTGAGATCCAGTATGGTCTAGTAGTGTTAGGATACTGAGCTAAGAGTGGGGTGGGGGTGGGGACCCAGGTTCCAGTCCCCCTTTACGCATGACAGCTTGATTCAGTCACTTTGTCTTAGTCTAGAAGAGGAAATAAAAAAAAAACCTGCCAACCTGCATTGGATCAGGGAGATAGTTTACAGTCCATGTCCTTCAATGAAAAGGCCTTCACAGAGGATCAGTTATTTTATAATAATAAAATGAGAGCCAAGTCTGTCCCTGGTGCATTTGGCTTGTAAGTAGGTTGTAGTTGGTGTTTAGATCAACACTTTGATTAACTGCATGCTCAGCTAGGTGAACGATTGTAGTTAACTTCAATTGACCATGATAGGCTAAGCAGCTAATACTTGGATGGAACACCATGAGGAAATTTTAGCTTGAGGACTAAAAAAATCAATCTGAAAGATTTAAGTGATGGTGTATTTCAGTATTTCTGCACAGTTGCCAAAAACAAAAACAGGGTCTAATGGTCTACCAGGCATCAAACATGACTTGATGGAAACTTAAGGAAAAAAGACATTTGAAGCACATTGCTCTCACACAATTGGAGCAGAATATCTTGAAGAGGTCTTATTGCTGCAGAATGGAACTCTACTCTTAGCCAGCAAAACAGAAAAAAAATAGTTTTGTAGTAATAACTCCCTTTGGTTTTACCTTGCAACCCAGCTGAAAAGCACTGCTATCTCAGGTGGAGACTAATTATGCTTTTCCTTGCTTTTCTTTCTTGCTGTTTTGGTTTGGGGCAGAGATCAGAGATCACCCAGTTCTTCCTTATAATTGCAATGTTGGAACAGGAATGCAAATCACAGATCTTCATGGGTATACAACAAAACAGTCTTTCTCAGACGGATGCCCTCTGTATTTACTAAGTTGATAACTCTAAAAATTCCCAGCCATGGGCAATGGATGAATTCATAATGGGCGTCGCTAAAAGGGACAGAGAAAACAGAATGCAGTTGGAACAGAGTAAACTGTAATTCCTGGGGAAACTTAGCCAGTTTGGGGTTATCATCAATAGCCATGACTTTTTTCAGAGATGCAACAAATGGATTTCTGAGAAACTTCCAAACTAAGCCTTTCATTCATAGAAGCAATAAGAGTAGAAAAGGAAGTGGGGATGAACAGGGGAAATAAGTACACAATCAAATAGGAAACTCTTGCTAAAAATAACATTGCAAACTCTTTGTGTGCACAATGCAGACATGGGACAGAGAAGATGACATGCATTCTTAACAAGCAATTGATTTCCAGAATCATGGCTTTAAAATCAAAGGTGGTGTTGGAAGTTAAATGAATAAAACGGCTCTGAGTCTCAACTGAGGTATCATTTCTGGATACGATTTCGATGCATATTTTTGTATTAGCGTTAAGAGAAACATTTGTAATTGCTCCATAACTTTGTACATTTTGCCTGAGGAGATCAGTCCCAAAGATCATGGGTGATGCTGAGTTACTGTATCTTCTCTTCATCTGTGATAGGTGGCAAAAATTTTACTTGGGAAGAAGTGAGGCTTTTGGACATGTGGCACCAAAATGCAGATTGAGTACGAGGCCTTTTCCATACTGCAAAATGGGGCTTGGTCTGCCAAAAATTTGCCACATGCCTAACTTGACTCTGCTGGTCTCTCTCTCTCTCTCTCTCTCTCTCTCTCTCTCTCTCTCTCCCTCCCTCCCTCCCTCCCTCCCTCCCTCTCCCCCCCCTCTCTCTCCCCAGCCCTAGTGCCACCGCTACCACTCAAAAAGGCTGCCTTCTGCAACACAGCCTGTTGTTCCCAAAACAGGTCCTAGCCTGGCACCGAAGCTAATAAAGACCACCAGACATGAGGAATGGCATTTTCAACATCTTTTATTGGAGTACTTCAGCAAAAGGGTCTTAGCAGCTAAAGGAGCCAAGGACCCGGAACAATACACAAATACAAATTTTATACAGCTATGATTAAAGAAGTTAACATCCTAAGAATCAATTATTAATTCCTTGACACGTTTATTTTGATTGGTTTCTTCTACTATACCCTTCTTCATCATACATTGCATGTTTATGCTACTAAGCTTTAGAAGAGAAGAGAAGAGAAGAGAAGAGAAGAGAAGAGAAGAGAAGAGAAGAGAAGACTTGAAATGGAGCTTGGAGGTCTTCTAGTCCAACTCCAATACCATTTCAGACAAATGGTTGTCCAGTCTCTTCTTAAAAACATCCAGTGTTAGAGCACCCAGAACTTCTGGAGGCAGGTTGTTCCATTGATTAATTGTTCTGTCAGGAAATTTCTTCTCAGTTCTAGGTTGCTTCTCTCTTTGGTTAGTTTCCATCCGTTGCTTCTTGTCCTGCCCTCAGGTGCCTTGGAAAATAGCTTGACTCCCTCTTCTTTGTGGCAGCCCCTGAGATATTAGAACACTGCTATCATGTCCTCCCTCGTCCTTCTCTTCATTAAACTAGGAATACCCAATTCCAGCAACCGTTCTTTATATGTTATCAAAAGGGGTGCATGATTAGTATAATAATAAGCTAGAAATTACCAAAGGTTATATATCTACAGCTAGCATCCTTCTAACATGTCCTTCTAATTTCCTTATAACTTTCTTGTTGCTAGGCAGCAGTGTCCCACTATTTGTTATTGGTCTTGTTACACTGATGGCAGCTGCAACTTTCTGCCCTGATCAGCCATTCCTTTAACAAACTTTCCTAATTCCAACCTGAAACCTTCAAGCCCAGCACTCTCCAGGATCTGCCGCTTGCCTTCAGGTGGTGTCCTCTTTCTGACAGGCCCCTGCGGCCTCCTTGAGGTGGCTCCGAGTTGCTCAAGGCCTTGGTTCTTGAAGCAGCCTCAGAGAATGCTCTCCCGTGGCCTCTGCTGCCTCCCCAAACCATGCGAAAGCACACGCTGCTCTTGCACAGGCGCTGCAGGGAGGGTCACGCAACATGGACTTCGTAGTCCCACACCACACGGACTTCGTAGCATTGTTATATTTGCTAACTAACAGAGTTATTTTGCATTTTAAGTTGAGTTATTTGTCTCTCTTTGAAATGATCAAACCATTGCAGGCCGGGATGTAGAAAACTCTTTATGGATTGACTGATAGCTTCTAACATTCCTAAACTGAAAGGATAGGAAGTCTGGAGTTTTGTCTTCTGATAAGAGAAAGTTTGTTAGCACTAACTGGTACAGGAAGTCCTTGACTTAGGACTACAATTGGGCCCAACATTTATGTTGCTTGTCAGAAGGTTGCAAAAGTTGATCACATGACCCTGGGACACCGCAACCATCATAAATACGAACCAGTTGTCAAGTATCCAAATTTTGATCACATGACCATGCGGGAACGCTGAAACCGTTGTAAGTGTGAACAACGGTCAGAAGTCACATTTTTCAGTGCCATTCTAACATCACACAGTCACTAAATGAACTGTTGTAAGTTGAGGACGACCTGTAATTGGTAGCTCTAATTCAGGGGGTCTCTAACCTTGACAACGTTATGACTGGTGGACTTCAACTCCCAGAATTCCTCAGCCAGTTTGGCTGGCTGAGGAAATTTGAGAGTTGAAGTCCAAAGTCTTAAAGTTGCCAAGGTTGGAGACCCCTGCTCTAGTTCATCCACAGCCTTCTTCTGCTCCATCCTTTCTCTGCCAGTTGTCAAGCATCCAAATGTAAATCACGTAACCATAGGGATGCTGCAACGGTCATAAGTGTGAAAAATGGTCATAAGCCACTTTTTTCAGTGCTCTTGTAACTTCGAACGGTCACTAAATGAGATGTTGTAAGTTGAAGACTACTTGTATCTGGTTTGTCTCTCTCTGTGAACTCCAACCTTATGACTTTTTTTCCCTCATGAACATCTTAAATTTTATGCCCTTGTTTTTGTCAGACCTCGTTTAAATAGACATACATGTAACGTTTGACTACATGTAACTGGTTCCCTATGAAAAGGAGAAGTTACTTTTGTCCTGTGCAATCAACTTTTCTCTTGAGTTTTCTTTAATACGTTAACTGTAAAACAGAATGCAAGCTGAGAATCGAGGTGCTCTCTTTGAATGAGGGGAATCTTTTTTAATCAAAGTGCTTTGAA